TTGAACCCAAAAGCAGCCAGAGTCTGCCACAGGTACTGGTGTTCAACCCGGTCAAAAGCCTTTTCTTGGTCTATTGAAATCAGACCAGTCTCTATGCCCAATGAACTGGAGAGCTCCAAAATGTCTCGAATTAAAGTGACGTTGTCACTGATGAGCCTGCCGGGCACACAGTAGGTCTGGTCAGGGTGGATGATGGACGCCATCACCTCTCTCAGTCTAAGGGCCAGAGCTTTGGACAGGATCTTATAATCCGTGCACAGCAATGAGACCGGCCTCCAGTTTTTCAGTTCCTGCAGGTCTCCCATTTTTGGCAGCAGGGTTATTGCGGCCCTCCTGCAGCTCAGAGGCAGTCAGTTAACGAGAGGGGAGACGGGAGTGAAAGTGTCTTTGATAACCACTCCCCTCTCCACCACCTCGCCAACCTTAGCCGTACTGTCTAAAAACAATACAATGGCCCCGTTCATGCGTGAGGCAGACCTCACACAGTCATACCCGACCACCTCTCCCACAGCCAGCCCGACTTCCTCCACCGAGCACTGCACCGCGGGGAACAGCTTGATCGCATGTCTGCGAGTCAGCTTCTCAAACTCTGCGGGTACAGCCTCCGCCACCGGCATTGTGCCACACAGAGCACGCTGCCCTCACAAACAATTACACACACACACACACACACACACACACACACACACAAACAAACAAACAGCACTTTCAACAGAAAATAATAAAGTAATAACTCATAAACACACTCACACTGAAAAAAAAGAGAATAGTTTTCTCAAAACTTACGAAAAGTTGAAACAAAACCAGAAACGCTCTCAGCTACTCACTCACACACCATCTCAGAGAGAGAGAGAGAGAGAGACTGGTGTTCCTCAGGGTTCTATCTTTGGTCCTCTGTGGTTCACTGTGTGTGTCTGTGTGTGTGTTCTCTGACCTTATATGGGCAGTCACAGTTCCGGTCCGTTCTCCCATAATACATCAGGTGTGACTTGTTGATGATGCGTACGATCAGCTGATGCTGGACGGCGCCCCTGACAACGCCCGGCGACCAGACAGGAAGGAGTCACGCAGCTCCGCCACCGTCACAGCCGAACGCCGTGCTGTCGACACACACACACACACACACACACACACACACACACATTTTGAATCACAATCACAATTTAAATATTCACCTTTAATAACTTATTATAAAATTTAAATAAATTAATTTCAGACATTAATTAGTTTTTTTTAATGTACTTACAACTTTCCCTTTTTATTTATTTGCCAATTTGACTTATTTATTGTGAATATATGAAGTAATAACATCACTCTGCTACAATTATTGATACCTATAATAATAACAATAATAAAGTCATATTTCACACTGACAGTATCTCTACCTTCCTCCTCCTCTTCGTCTCCACCCTCCTCTTCTTCCTCAGTGGGCGGGGTTTCCCTCCACACCTCCCCACTGTAGTCCACATTGTTCCATAGAGGGAGAAACACCATCCGACTGGCTCTGAGGGGAACCAGAGGACCTGAGGGATCCATCAATCAATCCATCAATCAATCAATCAGTCAGTCAATCAGTCCCTATCTCTGGTTTGGGTTAATAATCAATAATCTCTGACCTGCAGGTTCTGATGATCCAAACCAGGGCAGAGAGTTCCGGTCTGCTTCGACCCTCCTGCCTCCCTCCTCCTCCTCACCTGGAGCTCCTCTTGTGACCTCCGCACTCAGCAGTCGGTAGCTGCAGGAGCAACATCGTTAAACCGGGTCGACAACGTCACAGCGACACCGTCTGTCGTCCTCACTTACCTGTCTCTCTCTCCGCAGGCCCCGGGGCATTCTGGGAGCTGAGCGGCCATGGCGGGGGTGAAGGCGGCGTTGCGTAACATTGAGCCAGGCTGCAGGACGTTTCTCTCCACGAGCCGGTTCAGACCAGGATCCAGAGTCACACGAAGCCTGCAGTCCCCGTCACTCAGTGTGACGTCATACAGGTCGTCACCTGGAGACATCAACACAAACCAGTAAACATAAACCAGTAAACATCGACACAAACCAGTAAACATCAACACAAACCAGTAAACATAAACCAGTAAACATCGACACAAACCAGTAAACATCAACACAAACCAGTAAACATAAACCAGTAAACATCGACACAAACCAGTAAACATCAACACAAACCAGTAAACACAAACCAGTAAACATCTACACAAACCAGTCAACATAAACCAGTAAACATCGACACAGACCAGTAAACATCGACACAAACCAGTAAACACAAACCAGTAAACATCAACATAAACCAGTAAACATCATCACAAACCAGTAAACATAAACCAGTAAACATCAACACAAACCAGTAAACATAAACCAGTAAACATCAACATAAACCAGTAAACATAAACCAGTAAACATCAACATAAACCAGTAAACATCGACATAAATCAGTAAACATCGACACAAACCAGTAAACATCAACACAAACCAGTAAACATAAACCAGTAAACATCAACATAAATCAGTAAACATCGACACAAACCAGTAAACATCGACACAGACCAGTAAACATCAACACAAACCAGTAAACATAAACCAGTAAACATCAACATAAATCAGTAAACATCGACATAAATCAGTAAACATCGACACAAACCAGTAAACATCGATATAAACCAGTAAACATCAACCTGTTTGTTTGTTTATTTGTTTGTGTCTCACCGTTGAGGACAGCCTGAGCAACCTGTTTGTTTGTTTGTTTGTTTGTGTCTCACCGCTGAGGACAGCCTGAGCAACCTGTTTGTTTGTTTGTTTGTTTGTTTGTTTGTGTCTCACCGCTGAGGACAGCCTGAGCAACCTGTTTGTTTGTTTGTTTGTTTGTTTGTTTGTGTCTCACTGCTGAGGACAGCCTGAGCAACCTGTTTGTTTGTTTGTTTGTTTGTTTGTTTGTTTGTTTGTGTCTCACCGCTGAGGACAGCCTGGGGGAAGTACACTGATGATCCGAGGTCTCGGCTGTATCGCTGCAGGTCGACCACAGACAGGAAGTCCCTGCAGACGGCGGGAGAGGACGAGGACGTCTACGGGACAAACACACAACAACAACAAAAACAACAACAGGAAATAAACCTGCTGACTGATGAGTTTGCTTCCTGTTGGATCGTCCAACAGTATAAATGTTTGTATTGTAAACAAACACAACAACAGGAAACAACAGCAGTTTCAGTGTAAAGGTTCTTCACAATAAAAGCATAAAATATAAACAACAAAACCGTGAAGAACAACAGAGAATATAAAAATATAAAGTAACAATAAAATCATATAAAATAACAATAATATCTTATAAAATGAACAATATCTTATAAAATAACAACAATATCTTATAAAATAACAATAATATCTTATAAAATGACAATAATATATAAAATAACAACAATATCTTATAAAATAACAATAATATATAAAATAAAGGATAAAATGGAAAATTACCCAGAAGTTAAATGAATGTAAACAACGTGAAGGTTTGGTTTACAACAACAAACAACAATAAACAATCATGTAAACATTGGCAAAAATAACATAAACATTGATACAATGGATTAATAATTGAATATATTGAATCAGGCTGTGAAGTATCAGCACTGACAGGTTAACTCTCTCTCACTTCAACCAAACTCCATTCAAATATCTGATGATTTAAGTTAATTGGAATTAGCGGCGGACAGAAACTAATCGATAACACCGCCGAACTACTTTCTACGGTTTTATATCAGATTCGGCTCAACCAGAATCCACTCAACGGCGACTCCTCAATAGAATATCCTGTGTTTTTTTAAACGAGTCACATCGGATAGATTGAGGAGGAACGATCGATCCATTGTAATATCCAGAGATTTATTATTGATTAATTAGTTCTTTGCAGCGAACAGATTGTTTAAAAATGTGTCCAAAGTTCTTATTGAGCGAACACTTTGGGTTTTATTCAGCAGGTTGAGCGCTGGAGCTGATAAACAAAGCGACGTTAAATCGGCTGATATTTGAATGGAGTCTGGTTGGCGGCGCAGCGCGGCGGGCTCAATCAGCTTCCGGATACAACGCCGATAAATCGATAATCAATCATCGGGAGGTCAGAGCTGACAGTGAGGCGGGTCAGACCTTGCTGGTACCGGAGCGGGTCAGGGTTCTGTGGAAGACGCAGCCAGTCGCCGCCATGTTGGACAGACAACAACAGTGCGGTGCATTGTGGGAGAAAAATAACTGAAGTCAATATTGATCATAAAGAGCCGATTGGGTATCAATAATACATAATTCACACTGTATGATCATTTGTTGTCAGTCAGGCAGAATAAACAAACAAACACATAAATAAATAAATAAATACTGTATATATATATATATAATAATATATAATAATAATAATATATAATAATAATAATAATATAATAATAATATATAATAATAATATAATAATAATATATAATAATAATATATAATAATAATAATATATAATAATAATAATAATAATATAATAATAATATATAATAATAATAATAATAATAATAATATATAATAATAATAATAATAATAATAATATATATATCATCAGGAAGTTTGATTATTTCCTGTGAATATTGATCAGAGATGAGTGTTCCTGATATATTGATCCATTCTCTGTATTTTAATATTCTTCTTTCTGACTGATTCTCTGATTATTGATCGATCAGCTGTTTGAACTGGAAACTCTTCCAATAAAAGTTTCAATCACACATTAAAATGAGTGTGAGGTGGAAGAGAGACTCAGGAAGCTCTGCAGGGTTGAAATCAGCCTCGAGCTCCTGTATCAATTATCATATTGATTCCAGTCGTTGTCTCACACAGACGGACTTTTATTGTATTTAATGTTGTGTTACGTTTACATCACGTTTAACTGTCAGCAACAATAAAGTCATTAAACAGGATAAAGACAGAAATCAGATTCAGTCTAAAGACTTTAACAGAATAAAAAAGATCCATTCAATGAGAAATCAATTCTTTTATTTAGAGGAAGTCATTTCATTTCTAATTTCATCAACAAATATTTCCCACAGTGCCGAACAGACGACATAAATAACCCATAAATAAAACACTGTATTAAACCAGTGAATCTCCCAGAAAACAACACGGAGATTAAAGCAGATTCATTTCATACGACTGAACCGACGTCAGAGAACCCGTCACATTTAAACACCAACAACCTCCAGCAGCAGCAGGCATTATGGGAAATGAGTGCGTCTCCACCTGCAGCTGATAACCAGTGTGTGAAATACATCATACACAATAAACCCTGAACACAACCGACTGACAACCGTCACACAACCTTTACTGTCGGGTTACAAATGAATGTTTATGTATCTGCTGGCAGCTGTTACGCTGATTCGGTTTTCTCTTCTTCATAAAACAATAAAACTTATTTTACAGAAACTCATCTTGTAGACAGTGAAAGCTTTAACGACACATTAACTTCACTGTGTGACCTCAGTCTGATACATTAATGCATTTTCCAGGACAACAGAGATTATTTCCAGGATCTTTGGTCATTTTAATCATTTTCCAGGTGACTGGAAAACTGGTTTCTAAACTTCCAGGTTTTCCAGGATCCTGGTGTTAGCGAGGTAGCTAGCAAGCTAGTACAGTACAGTAAAGCTCTGTAAAGTTCCAGCAGACAGAAGCCCTTAATGTCTTAACAAGACTTTTATTGTGAAACATTCGCAGGAATTTGTGTTCAACTGGGACACCTAGTGGTAAAATGTGGTATCACCGTTCAGTATTTGGCTTAATATCAACGTATTAAAATCTTTACATCGTCCTTCCCTCGTTAGAAAAATAAAACTGGAGTTAAAAGAACTTCTGCTGCACTCAGACGTGGATTCAGACAGACAGACAGAGCGGGACAAACAAACAGAACGAGGAAGTATTGCTGCTAAAGGAAGGATTTAAATATATTAAATTAAATTATTACAAGTAATTTATTAATTATTAGCATCTTGTTGTTTGCTCCCTCTGTAAATGATTTCACACAGGAAGACAGAAACTTTAATATTTTAACTTCCACCGTTGTCGTCTGTCAGAATCCAGATGAGCGCCTTCGTTTAGTCTTTGAGTGTCACAGTTATCAAACTCATTGGAGCCGATGGCGTTCCCTCAGCTTCGTTTACGCTGTCGCTGACACACTTGTGGTTCTTCAAACTCGAGAGCCAAGTGAAGGATTTATCGCAGATGTCACAACTGAAGGGTTTCTCCCCCGTGTGGGTCCTCCAGTGCTGTCTCAGATGTGTCTTCTGTGTGAAGGTTTTATCACAAAGTGGACAAGCAAACGGTTTCTCCCCGGTGTGCGTCCTCATGTGCTGGGCCAGCGTGTTCCTCAGAGCGAACCCTGTGCCGCACACGGAGCACGTGAACGGTTTCTCTCCCGTGTGACCTCTCAGGTGCGACCTCAGAGTCGAGCTGCGTGTGAATTTTGCGTCGCAGAAGGAGCAACAGAAGGGTTTCTCCCCCGTGTGGATTTTCATGTGCCGCTCCACGTCCAGCTTCCAGTGGAAAGACTTTTTACAAACGGAGCAGCTGAAACATTTCCTCTCTGAGTGAAGCATCATGTGCGCCGTTAGCGAGTCCTTCCGGTGGTAACTTTTCCCACAAACCGAGCAACCGAAGGATTTCGCTCCTGGCTGCGGTTTCGTGTGCTCCCGGCGGTCGTCAGTCTCAGGTGACGTCTCCTCGTGAGCAGCGCAGTCCTCTCCGGTTCCTGTTTCCTCTGCGTTCTCCTTCTGTCCAGTCGGACGTGGCGAGGACCGGCGCCCCGCACACGGATGGGTTCGGAGCTGCGACTGCCACGTGAAGCTTTTTCCACACACAGTGCAGCCGTACGGTTTCTCCCCGGTGTGGAGAACCATGTGGTGTGTCATTGATATCTTCTGTCTGAATCCTTTACCGCAAACTGAGCAACTGAACGGTTTCTCTCCGGTGTGGATCCTCATGTGCGTCTTCAGGTAGGAGTTCCTGCTCAGCTGTTTCCCGCACTCAGAGCAGCCGAAGGTTTTCTTCACAGCTTTACATCCGCTGTTGTTTTTCTGAAGCTTTAAACCCGACGGAGGTTTCCCGCTCCTCCTCCGATCATCAGTCTCAGCTGGTAAATCCTGACCTGGAGCCAAGTTCCCGGCTGGTTGTGGTCCTCCGAGGTCCTCTCCATCAGCTGCTGTCTCCTGCTCAGCCTGGCTGTGACGAAGCAGCGAGGGAGGAGGTTTCTCTTCATCTTCTTCAGTCTTCACAGGGACCGCAGGGAATATGAACTTAATGTCATTAGTCTCTGGTTCCTCCGGTTCCTCTTTAATGTCCGGTGGCTCTGGTGAGTCCTCCTGGTCCAGACAGGGGTTCATCTCCTGCTGCTCGGAGGGAACAACTTCTTTATTCATGGACGGCTGCCGGACGTCTGTGAGGACAATATGATACAGACACAGGGTTCAGAAACATAAAATAAAAACTCTGATAGTAAAAAAATGTTCAATTGAAGATAAAAGTTATTATACAAAGTCTAGATTATGAGATAAGAAGTTATATTATAGTTTTATTTGAGTGTTAGGGCCAGGTATTATTTTTTGGGGGGAAATTACGAGAATAAAGTCGTAACATTGTGAGAATAAAGTCGTAATTTTATCTTCCCACTGCGTTAAAATGAGGAATGTTGAGCATCTTGTGAAGTTATACTTTGGTATCGGTTTCACAAATAAGGAAATACTTAATCAAATTATTATTATTATTATTATTATTATTATTATCAGGACTTTGGAACGATTGTACTAACGACTGTTTCTACTTGGAAGAAAGAACCACACAGACTACATTATTCTTTATTATTACGACTTTATTCTGGTAATTTCCAAAATTGTGTTAATTTATTTTCCCTCTTAGTGTGGCCCTAATACTCTGTTTACTCTGGTGACGGAGTACAAGCATATATAATATATAATATATATAGAGGGAGCACAGTAAACGGGAGGACAACAGGAGGACAACAGGAGGACAACAGGAGGACAGTAAACGGGAGGACAACCGGAGGTTATGTAGTGATGAGTTCAGTGACCTGCGTCCAGCAGCTGCTGCAGTCGCTCGTTCTCCGCCGTTAACCGGAACACTTCCTGCTCGTACTCCGTTATCGTCCTCTCGAACAGCTGCAGAGTTTCCTCAGCGGCCACCGTCAGCCTCCGGTTCACCGAACACCTCAACATCTGGATCGAGTTCATGTTCGATAACCTACAGCTCCCCGGTAACTCTCTCTCTCCGGTGACTCTCTCTCTCCGGTAACTCTCTCTCTCCGGTGACTCTCTCCGGTAACTCTCTCTCCGGTGACTCTCTCTCTCCGGTGACACTCTCCGGTGACTCTCTCTCTCCGGTAACTCTCTCCGGTGACTCTCTCTCTCCGGTGACTCTCTCCGGTAACTCTCTCCGGTGACACTCTCTCCGCGTCTACTTCCGGATAGCGAGCTAAGCTAACGTCATTAGCTCCGTGTTAGCTTCGTTTAGCATTCTCCGCTAACAGGAAACGCTGCTGCGGTGAAACGTCCGGAACCAGTTAAACCAGTTTACCGACACACATTGGTTCTACTGGTTCCCTCCTGCGGTATCAATACACTGTATTGATTATAGCTAACGGACAGAGTGTGTTAGCTACAGGAAGTACACGTGTGTCTGATACCGCCTTCTTTACGGATTTTCAAAATAAAAGTGACCAAACGTTTTTGTGTCTCTGGCAGAAATTAGAGAAATAAAAACACATTTATTTTTATTGTTGATTGACACCAATATATAAAGAATAACATGATCAATCTGTAATTATTTTTATTATTAAAAAAATATTAATATTAATAAATAAAAAGAAATAAAGAAATCATTTTAATTGAATGAATAATGTGTAGTATTTTATATATTTTTGTCTGTAATTTCTACCTCACCATACAGAATGTAAATGTCTTTGTATCAACATAAACCAATATAAACAGATATAAACCGATATAAACAGATATAAACAGATATAAACAGATATAAACCAATATAAACAGATATAAACAGATATAAACCGATATAAACCGATATAAACCGATATAAACAGATATAAACAGATATAAACAGATATAAACTGATATAAACAGATATAAACAGATATATAGGTAGTGCAGTAACTACAGACTCATTTATCAGATATATATTATATATAATACATATTCTGTATTTCTGATTGTTTACAACTGAAGAGTCATTAAGAATAAAATAATCCTCAAATATCATTTTTAGATGTTTAACCAATTAAATGTGTTTAAATTGTAACATTTATGGAAACTTGTTCTTAGAATAAGATTCTTGTTTTATAAATAAATGATAATCAATCAAATCTCTGTTATAAAATGTTAAAATTGCTGTTACAAGTTGAAGTTACATAAATGATGACGTAGCTACAGGGTGTGCATTGTAACAGTTTATGGTTGTATAATCTTTAAGTTAGAGCGACACTGAATTCTGTCACAAGATAAAACATTTATAAGTTTAGAGGGCAGAATAGATCCCAAATAAAACAATCCTGAGTCTTAATATTAGCACAATAACTGGGGATCAAATCAAAAACTTAAACTTAAGTTAGGTGTATTCTTTAGAAATCAGCAGTAGGTTGCACATTGTACACGCTGCTGGCAGATATTTCCTGTGATTTTACAGTATTTTGGCTCAGTGCAGGACACAAATATAAATAATTAAGGCATAAATTAAGAGATGATCCAGTCCAACAGAACCCGACACTGAAGAGGAGCATCATCTCCAGGCTTCACTAGGATCTCTGACTGGTCTGAAGACAAAACACAAAGTGGTTCATTGATTTCTAAGAAGACTTTTTATTGAGAGCAGACTGAATTCAATCAGAACTTTATTTATAAAGCACCTTTGTGCAGAACTGTAATACAAAAAGATTAAAATATATATTGGATTAAGGCAAACTGGTCCCAGTGGACTCAGTTACACATTGTAAGTTACTGTCACAGATTGTAATGTGGGAACCGAGGATACATCACCACTCGCCAACCTGACTCAGGAGGAGGAGAGAGGAGACGAGTGAGGCCAGCGTCTCCACAGCAGGCCACATTCACTCATTCATTCATTCATTCATTCACACATTCATACAGTGATTCAGCATCAGGAACAGTTTGGGGTTCAGTATTTTGCTCAAGGACACTTCGACATGCAGCGGGAGGAGCCGGGGGATCGAACCAGCAACCTTCTGATCAGTGGACGACCCGCTCTACCTCCTGAGACACAGCCAGATATATATGTATAGAAGCTGAATACACAAATATCAGAGAAACATTATAGAGCTACATGAGACCAATCAATCAATCAATCAGTCAATCAATCAGTCAATCAATCAATCAATCAATCAATCAATCACAGTATGGACTGCAGGTTCATTCAGACGATGAAGAGAGGAAACACTGAAAGCTGAACGTTGACATTCTCTTCCTTTGAGCCCCTTCAACAAGATCAATAATCAAAGATTGATCAACAGACCAATCAAACAGATTGATCAGCCATCAGAGGAGTTGGATCAATGGAGCTGCTTCTGTTCCTGGTTCTCCCTGCAGAGGAGACAGAGGACAGTCAGACACAGACAGACACAGAGACATCTGACCTCTGACCTGTATCTACAGTACTGACCTCTGACCTGTATCTACAGTACTGACCTCTGACCTGTATCTACAGTACTGACCTCTGACTGTGAGCTGCACTGTTTTCGCTCTCAGTAAGTTTCCCCTGCTGTAGACGTTGCAGCCGTATCTTCCTGTGTCTCTCTCTTTGGGGGATTTCAGGGTCAGACTGAGGTCTCCAGTTTTCAGCAGGTCTTCCTTCATCTCAGTTCGGTCTCTGTAATCCTGGTTCTGTATTTCAGGCTGATCAGAACTGTTCTGATACACATGGACTGTCGTTGTGGGTTTGGGTTCAATGCGGACCCACTCCACTGTAGCGTCCTCAGGCAGGTCAGCTGTGGTCTTGAAGGGCAGTTGGACAGACTCCGCCCCCTCCTCCACCTCCACCTGACAGACTGAGAGAACAACAAACCCCAACATCAGCTGTACAGACAGCAGCAGCAGTTTGCAATAACTTTATTGACTGATTACAAAGTTGTAGAGAACCCTGAAGGACAGAACCAGATGAGAGCAGCAGGTAACAGGGGACAGAAATATAGGAACTAAAAGCAGGTTTTCAAGCTGTTGGACATGTTGTGATTTTCTGTCCATGTGCTGCTTCACAGTAATGTCTCATCTCAGTGTTGAACTGCTGTCTGTTGCTCAAATGTAACAGTGAATTAATCTTAGTTCCACACAGCATTTCAAACACAGGTTCAACATCACTGATCAAACAAATGTCTCATTGTTTCTGTAGCAACACATTCACTCACAGCATTTCTACTGTTGGGACCACTGGGACACAAAACAGGAAGTGGAGCATTTCTCCACATTGGTATCTCCGATTGACACCAAGCTTGGGTCCATAGTTCCCCATGTCTTCCTTAGGCATCATGCACAAGGTGGTGCTCTTTAAAATGAATGAAGTTTATATCTCCGCATCGTCAAGTATGATTGAAATTAAACTTGGTACGATGCCTGCCCATGGTTCCCTGAGGCTCACTAAAACGTGTGTCAACAATCCGCCACTAGGTGTCGCTCTGGTGGCATGGTAAATCACTGTGCGGAGACCGTAATAGTTATGAATATGAAATTCACAGTGCACGTGGAGAGCAGTGCCTGAAGCTCACATACCAAAAATCTTGTTTGTTGTGTTTGTAGCGCCCCCTACTTTATTTTAAAAAATCAGCCCCTACGCCACGTTTCACCGATATGTATGAAACTCAGTAGGCACGTTTAGAATGCCGGGACGCACAAAAAAGCCTCTTGGACCCATACCCCAAACCCCACGGGAAGTCAGCCATTTTGATTTTGATTTTCACTTTCGGCAAACTTTTCGCGTTGTATTTGAACAAACTCCTCCTAGGGAATTAATCAGATCTGCTTCAAAATGGTCAGTACAGTCAAAGTATCTTGTTGATTAAAAGTTGTGCTATTTGTGCATGTATGTCGAAGGGCGTGTCAAATTTGATTGAATCGAAAGTCAAAACTGTGATGCTATTTCCGGCATATGAGGGCTTCTATTTTAACTAACTCCTCCTACAGATTTTATCAGATTGACTTCAAATTTGATCATTGCAATCTAAACACATTGATAATCAAAAGTTGTGCTATTTGTGACTGACTGTGACTAACCGCGTGCCCGTTACGACGTGTCGAATTCCGCCGATTGGCCATAAAACAGCTAGTACTTAGATCTTCAGTGTACATGATCCAATCTCAATGAAACTTCACGTTTGATAACAGACCCACCCTGAACACGTTTACATGACAATATTCAGATATAGTGATAGCGCCACCTACTGGCAACAGGAAGTAAGCGCTGCACGGCGACTTGTATCTGATTTACGTGAAATTTTCATGTTTTGGTCCGCACGTGTTAGGCCTGCATGTGATGCGGCCGCAGCACGCCCCTAGTTGCGCGGAGTGCGAGGGCCCGTTCATCGCTGCTTGCAGCTTTAATTCATTTAATTACTGATCAGAATTCCAAACTAATAGTTTATTGTATTTAATCAGACTGAATCAATCAATTATTGTCTATTGATTCCCTTCGTTAAGGCTGGTTCCCAGAGGAACTTTAATGTTATTTTCTTCCTCCATACTGGAGCTCCACTGACTGTATGGATCCATCATCATCTGCTTCTATTGTAAATCTGTGTGTTGTCTGTATAATTATGGGATATTTGGTTGTTTTCCACAATAAGAACTAGTGGGAGCATATAGATGGTGAATGAAGTGGACCCAGAATGGACCCTTGGGGAACTCCTGCTGATAGGAGTTCAGTTAGTGGCTGTGCCAGAGAGTCCTTCAGTTTCCATCTGTCCAGTAATATCTTGTGTTCAACTGTGTCAAACGCAGCCTGAGATCCAGCAGGACCAAGACAGAGACTTTACCACAGTTTGCATTTAATACGGCTGAAAACATTATGAGCCAGAGAGCTAATGCTATGCTACGAACCAGAGAGCTAATGCTATACTACCAGCCACAGAGCTAATGCTATGCTACAAGCCATAGAGCTAATGCTATGCTATGAGCCACCATTATGCTACAAGCAAGAGAGCTAATGTTATGCTACAAACCAGAAAGCTAATAATGATACAATTTTTAAAGCACTGACCTTTGACTTGTATCTACAGCACTGTCCTTTGACCTGTATCTACAGCACTGACCTTTGACCTGTATCTCCAGCACTGACCTTTGACCCAGAGCTTCACTCGTTTCTTCATCAGGATCTTTCTCTCCCCGTTGTAGACAGTGCAGGTGAAGGTGTCAATGTCTCTGTATGTGGGGTATTTCAGGGTCAGACTGAGGTCTCCAGGTTCCAGCAGGTTTCTCTTCATCTCTGTTCGGTCTCTGTAATCCTGGTTCTGTTCTTCAGGCTGATCAGAGCCGTTCTGATACACATGGACCTTCCTGTTGTCACTGTCCCTCCACTCCACTGTGACGTGCCTTAGCAGGTGAACTGTGGTTTTGCAGGGCAGCAGGACAGACTCCACCCCTGAACCCACCTCCACCTGGTAGACTGAGAGGACAACAAACCACAACATCAGCTGCACTGCAGAAAATCTATTTCTAAGTCAGTCAGATAATCTGATATTTAGATTTAAAATCTAGTGGGACTTGTTTTGAGTGTGAACTGATGATCTAGTGCTCACTATGGAAGGCTGTTTGACTGAATTTAAGTAAATGTCACTTGTCTTAATGAGCAGTTTGATCTTATTTGGAGTTATTTTTAGCTACAGGGACACATTAGCTACAGGAGCTCCAGTATGCTTTGACACTTTAAAGGGACACTTCACCCATTTGCATTAAGCTTTGTATCATTAGAACCACAGTCATATTTTTGAATGGTCGTGCATCATTCCCTCACTTTCCCTGAGAGGGAGAAATAAGGACTTTAGTGTGTCACTTCCTGCTTCCAATGATGTACAAATCGTCATTCTGCGTCATTGGAAGCAGGAAGTCTGATATCTCTGTAGAGGGGGTGAGACTACAAACACTACTTCCTCATTATTTTTTCACTCACGCTACAGCCCTATTACCGATCAGTGGGTGGGACTTCACCTGCAGAAACTAAAAAATGAAAGAAATGTCCAGCTCCAGATGGCCAGTACTTCGGCACTAAGGAGTTGAGGACGCTCAGGAGGAACTATAACTGTCATTGTTAACATATTTATTTTTGTTGTTGTTGATATATTTCTGTAAATAAATGGTTCATACTAGGGGTGGGTAAAAATATCGATACGGCGATATATCGCGATACTTTGCCGCCCGATACAATATCGATTTTTCAACTCCAAAGATCTTTTTTTTTTAAGAATAATAATAACAATGTTGGCTTCAGGTGGATGCTACATTGTTTGGAGCCGCGTTACAAAATACCACAATGCGGCTACATGGTGAACACAGCTGTGCGCAGGATGCATGAGGAGGTGAAGAAAGTCGTGAAAACATCTCTTAGCGCTGCACAAAGAGTTGCCTTGACGTGTGACGGATGGACGTCCAGAGCCACACAGTCGTATGTGGCTTCTCAGCGTGCACTAAAGTTGCCAGCCGTCCAGCGCTTGCTGGGAAGAGTGAGGCGGATTACCAACTTTTTCAGACGCAGCGCCATTGCCAGTCATGTCTTGAAAGAAAAACAGAAGTTGCTGAATCTGGAACAGCACAAACTCAAGACCGATGTGGTCACCAGATGGATTAGCGCACATGACATGCTCCAGCGCTTCCTGGAGCAGCAGCCGGCAGTCACTGCTGCCCTGCTGTCACATGAGGTGAGGAAGAATGAAAAAGATATCAGCACTGTCAGTGAGGCCGACATTACAGCTACAGAAGAAATAGTCGCTGCTATGAAGCTCATGAAGATTGCTACTGTGGTCATGGAAGAAGAGAAAACTCCCACACTGTCAGCAGTTGCACCAGTCCATGCCCACCTGATCCAAGAACTCCAGGAGAGCCCAGGTGACTCTAACATGATAAAAGAGATCAAAACTGCCATATGCCAGGACCTCAAGAAGAGGTACTTAGATGAGCAGAGGGAGACTCTTCATGTGTGTGCAGCTCTGGATCCCAGATTTAAGACCTTGCTGTTCTTGACTGAGGATGAACGCCAGACCGTCTATGATAGAGTCACCACAGAGGCTGCAAGGACCCAAGGGCCGTTTCAGGTGAGCTAGACTATTAGACTGCTTTCAAATATTCTTTCAATATTTTTCATAGACAGTCAATACAAATATTGCATAAATATTTTAAAAAGCATAAATACTAAAAGTTTAAAATACATAAACACTGGTGATGGTGAATGTTAGTAAACATTAATATTACATGAACAACAGATTATGTCAGCATTTAATTGTAATTTATTTCATTTGAGCTTATTTAATTTACTTAATTTCATGTGATGCTGTTTTTCAGCATGGAGGAGCTGGAGAGGATGTGACAGGTGAGCCAGAGACTGATGGAGAAGAGGAGGAAGATGAGGATGCAGGGCTGGAGGTCCTAGGTGAGGAGGACAAAGGGAGCAGCCAAGGTCTTGAGGAAGAGGAGAGCTTTGCAGTACTGTCCACGTCTAAGAAGAGATCCAGGGATTCTTGTGGCCTTGCGGACCTTCTTGGTCAAACATACACCTCAGGTCAGTATAGGAAGGACCCCCTAATGTCAATAGTTAGTTTTAGTTCTTATCCCTGCAGTTGAATATTTGAGCCTCACTGTGCTGAATGTTTGTTCAGAGTTTGACACTAAAAGAAGTGTAAAGTTTATTTCCTCTCATTTAAAAAAACAGATTCCTCAGAGCGTAATGTACATTACTCTGTGCTTAAAGTTTCATATTACACTTATGTTAGTTTGATATTTGTCCAATATTCAAGTTACACATGCACAAATCATCTTCTAAGGAGTGTGGATTTGATCTGTAACCAAACTGCACATACTTTTTGCACCATGAATCTCCAACATTAAACTGTAGCGAAAAAAGGACTTTGGGTGGTCTTAAAGAAATCGCTAATTTTTGTGATCACTGTTCCAGGGGCTGCAAAGAAGTTGAAGACGCCAGAGAACCAGGCACAAGAGGAGATGGGAAGATTCAAAGAGACTGCTCCGATGCCAATTACAAAAGGGGCCAATCCACTGAACTGGTGGAGGGAGCACGAGTGCGAGTATCCTCTCCTGTCAAAACTTGCAAAGAGGTATTTGTGCATCCCTGGAACAAGTGTCTCCTCTGAGAGAGTTTTCTCTACTGCAGGGGACATTATCACCGCACAGAGGAGTGCACTCACCCCAGAGCACCTTGATCAGATTCTCTTTCTAAACAAAAACCTAAAAACCAAAGAAGTCAGGTACAAGTTTTAGGCCTATCCATGTGTCTGAATGTTAAGGTTTACTATTGTATTTATTTTGTTTACAAGAAGACTATGTACACTTTATTTTCCTCATAATTTTCAGCTCAGTGTGTTCAGAGACAAGCATGTATGTAATATGTATGCACATAGGCATTTTATTTTCATATGACCTGTTCAATTCAGGTAAAAGTTTTAGGCCTACCAATGTATCAGAATGGTTTACTATTGTATATTTTGTTTACATATATACATTTACATTATTTTCATATGACCTCTTCAGTTCAGTGTTCAAACAGTGACAATAGGAGAAACATTTATTATTATTTTATTATTTATTATGTTTGTACATTGTCACTCAGGGTACATTATCCTTTTTCATTTTATTTTCAGTATTTATTTCAGTGAATTTCATGGTAATTAATAAAATGGAGAGGCTGTTTTGAATGAAATAGTTTTGACTCAATTTGTCCTCTGATCAATATCATCTGATGTACATATACAGGTACTTGTGTTTCGTGATATCGCGATATCGTGATACGTATCGTATCGTGACCAAAGTATCGTGATACGTATCGTATCGTGACCAAAGTATCGTGATACGTATCGTATCGTGAGGTTCTTGCCAATACTCACCCCTAGTTCATACATACATTCACGTTGTTGTAGTCCTTGGAAGTGTTAGTGGGAGCGGCTTGCGGAGCTGTGCATTGTGGGAGTTGATGTCTTTAATACAAATGCGCCCTAAAGTCACTTTCTGTCTTTTCTCAGTCAAATAGGCACCAAATTCAAAATGTATGTTACATTTCGACTAAATATATAACCCACTTTCAATGAATATTAATGTTTCCACGGGTGAAATGCTCCTTTAAGATCTGAACTTTCAACACAAAAACATCTTATTTCAACTTTTAGTCTTTTAGCTTCTGTGATATTATATTTTACACTTTATCTTCAAACTAAATATTTCCTGAACCATTCAGTGTTTGGAAGTCAATAACAGTATTTTGAGATCAATTCTTTGATGTGTATGAAGCCAGTGCAGAGCTCTAAGACCTGGACTCATGTGTTCCACTTAGTGTCAGTGAGGGCAGCAGCGCTCTGAATCAGACACAGTTATATCCATTGATGAATTAAAACGCATCATAAAGAATATGGTGACAAAGGTATGTGGTTGTTTTTCTTGAGAAGCCATTGTATTTGTATAGTTTGTGTTTTATTAATATTATGTTGTATATATTGTATCTTAATATGTTGTGATTTTCTAAGGCTGCTACCTCGGCCAGGTCTCTGTTGTAAAATACATTTTTGATCTCAATGGGACTTCCTGGTAAAATAAAAATAAAAAAATGAATCCTTTTGGTTGTATTTTTAAGGTGGTATTAGGAGGATCTTGTGATTCTGTTGATGTGGGTTTTGGTTTTTAGGATTTTCACCGTCTGTAACTTTGATTATTGATTTCAAAGAAAACCTCTGTAACCACAACACTGGAAATATTCACAGGTTTTGTGACAACTAGGTCAGAGTGTGATCCTCATTATGTGTCTGTCACATGTTGAGTCAGTCCATAACTGTAAACAATGTAAGTTAATTCAATGGCAGTAATATCCTGGGGGTTGTCACCAACCATAAGTATGCAGTCAAACTCAGTGCAGATAATCGACAGTGAAAATATATGGTGGCCTGTAAGAACAAAGATCAACAGGAGACAGATATTCAAAAGAATCATTTTAGTGACATTTTCTTACATTGAACTCAATCAAAGAAAAGAGATCACATCTCTCGTGTACTAGCTTCTCTGCACTGGCTCCCTGTAAAACTACACCTATAAAGCTCATGTGGACAGAAAAGTGTTCAGAAAACCCAATTACATGGTCCAAATACACAAGAGTAGATTCTGGGAGCTGATCATCTAAACACCGCTGCATTAGTCTCTGAAAGTAGAACAGGAGCAAAGGCCAAGCAGCATCCTCTCAAACTTACACAGGCCACAAGGTCTGCTACACCCGAGTTCTCTCCAACTACTTTGCTCAGCTCCTTGCTGACCTTGACAAGGTCCACTTCCACTTCACGGCTCCTCCAAGAGTCGGCTGCTCTCCTACTTTCACTCTGACCTCCACTTGAGCCGTAAACTGGCGTCTTCCTTTCTCACTGCAGTTTCTGCACCAATTCCGTTTTCCCGTCACAGTGTCTGTGCGAGAGGAAGCACACCTGTGCTGCATCCTCTCCTCAGCTGCCAGGAGACCGGTACTGAACACCCACTAACGCCCCATGTACCAATCATCACCACCAAGTGTTGTTCCAAGTCAATAAAACCCCACAAAAACCCAGAGAGCCCCCACAGAACACAGCGCCACCACCAGGACCAGTCCTCACTTACACGCCCTCACACAAACACACGTATATCTACATGTTTCTATACATATATCAATATATATATTGATTACATAGTGTTTAGTTGACGTTACCTATGTTAATAACAACAGGAAGTCTGCTGGAGGTCCCTATTGTATTTGCTATGTTTCTTATTATTATTTTTAGCGCCTTTGACAGCGTTTTTACCCCCCTGAACATATACAAAAACTCAATTTTATATGTCAAAGGTGGCAGGTCAGCCACTAGGTGGCACTACTGTCATGAAAAGTACATTTAGGCTAATAACTTCCGCATAATTTGCCGCACATTCAGAAACCTTATATCCACTCGTTCGGTGAATGAAGCTGAATCTCCTCATATAGGCCCCGTCCACTTCTGCCTCAATTTTTTTGCGAAATGTCCAAAAACTACTTTTCGTGTTCCTCCTATACGCTTTGTCCGATTAGCACAACATTTTTCACGTAGCATCTGGGGACCGTCCTGGCAAAAAAAATATTTGAAGAATTTTGATATTTCAAAAAATCAGCACGTTATAAAATTAGCATTTCCTGTACATTTTTTGTCAAAAAAGGAAGTGGACCATTTCTCCACATAGGTATGTCTGATTGACACCAAGCTCGGGTCCATAGTTCCCCATGTCTTCTTTAGGCATTGTGTACAATTTCAGGTCATCGCCACAAGGTGGCGCTCTTTAAAGTTTATATCTCCGCATCGGCACGTGTGATTAAAATTAAACTTTGTACAATGCTTGCCCATGACTCCCTGAGGCTTGCAAAAAAATGTGTCAACAATCCGCCACTAGGTGTCGCTCTGGTAGCATGGTAAATCACTGTGCGGAGATTGTAATAGTTCTGAATATGAAATTCACAGGGCACATGTAGAGTGGTGTCTGTAGCACACATAACAAAAATCGTGTTTGTCGTATTTGTAGCGCCCCTTACAGAATTTCAACAAAGCAGCCCCGGCGCCACGTTTCACCGATATGTATGAAACTTGGTAGGCACGTTTACTTGGTAGGACATTTTGATTTTCGAATTTTCGCCTTGTATTTGAACGAACTAGTTAAAATTGACTTATCGGATCTTCTTCAAGATTGGTCAGTACAGTTAAAAAATAGTGCTGATTAAATATTGTGCTATTTGTGACTGTACGTTGAATGGCGTGAGTGGCGTGCCATCAAACTTCGATGTACAGCCAGAAGACACATTGACTTCACTCCTGTAAGTATGCGTCTTCCCACCGCTGCCTCTGAGCAATTTGATGTAAGCAGGCATATTGCCTTAGTACCACAATTTAGGGAAAGTGAAGTAGATTCATATTTCAATGCTTTTGGGCGCATCGCTGCGACATTGAGATGGCCCAGAGATGTGTGGAGTTTGCTGTTGCAATGCAAACTGGTGGGCAAGGCCCAAGAGGTGTGTGCAAGTTTATCTATTAACGAAAGTCTGGATTATGAAATTGTGAAAGCTACTGTGTTGCGTGCTTATGAGTTGGTTCCTGGGGCATATCGCCAAAAATTTCGCACATGTGAAAAATCGCCAAACCAAACATATGTGGAGTTTGCCAGGGAGAAAACTGTTCTCCTTGATAAATGGTGCACTGCGAGTAAAGTGACAAATTTTGTTCAACTCCGCGAACTATTTTTGCTAGAAGAGTTTAAAACGTGTCTCGTGTCATGAAAATCGTCATTTACTTAAATGAACAAAAATCAGATTCTGTGTCCAAAGCTGCTGTGCTCGCCGATGAGTTTGTTTTAACGCAACGTGTTGTTTTTCCGGCAGGGCGCTGTGAACAAACTGCGATTGCAAACACTGGAAATAACCATAAAATCTTACCAAAAAATCCACATAGACCTAATCCTACGTCTTCTGAACGTGAATGTTTTTACTGCCACGAGGCAGGACACCTGATAGCCAGCTGCCCTGCGCTCCAGCGTAAAGAAAATAATCAAAGTGAAACAAGACCAAAAAGTGTTGGACTTTTTCAGTCTGTTCCCACTCCGTCTCCTGTCAGTAATGAACCAGAAAAAGAGGAGGTAGATGAGCGTTACAGACCTTTCATTTTACAAGGTTCAGTCTCTCTGACAGGAAAGGAGGAAGATCAGGTTCTGATCACAATTTTGCGTGATACGGGAGCTAATCAGTCTCTCATCTTGCAAAAAGTGCTGCCTTTTTCCTCTGCTTCATTTTGTGGTTCTGATGCACTTGTGTTGGGGGTGAAAATGAGTACTGTAAGAGCACCGTTGCACACAGTTTTCTTGCGTTCACCGCTCATCTCAGGCCCTATGGGTTTTGGACTGCACACTCGTTTGCCAGTGCGGGGTGTTGCCATGATTCTCGGAAATGATCTGGCAGGGAAAAAGTGTTTCCGACCCCCGAAGTGATTGAAAATCCCGTTGCCGACTCGTGTGTTTCTATTCCTGCTGCTGTTAACTCGTCCTCTGTGTTTCCGGCTTGCGCTGTTACGCGCGCACAAAAGCGTAAACTTGGTGATGTGGTGGATTTGTCTGATTCATTCATGTGCTCTGAAGATGGTACTGAACAATCAGACCCCCGTGCCGAAAAATGTGAAAAGAGTGTGCTTGATTACTTTTTACCTGTTGAAGCTAACTTGTGTTTCGATGTCGACAGGGGAGAGTTCATCCGTGCACAACAGACTGACCCAACTCTGGCTACGTGTCTATCTGCTGCCGACTCACGTGCCAAGACGCTCAGTGTGTACAGCATTAATGACGGTGTATTAATGCGTAATTCGCACCCTCCCTCAACTGATGATCTAGGTTGGAATTCATTTCAACAAGTGATAGTCCCACAGAAATTTCGCCCTCAGGTATTGAATCTAGCCCATGATAACATTGCTGGCCATTTAGGAATAAAAAAGACTTACCATCGCATCCTGCGGTACTTCTTTTGGCCAGGTTTGAAAGCCGATGTGACAAAATACTGCCGTTCATGCCACACTTGTCAGGTTAGAGAAAGTGTGCAGGAATCTACAGGTTTCAGTCCTGCAGAGCTGGTGTTTGGTCACACCGTGCGTGGTCCTCTGCGGTTGCTGAAAGAGAGATACCTGTCTGCCACTACTAGTCCCGGTCAAAATGTGTTAGATTATGTGAGCTCTTTCAGAGAACGTCTGCACTCAGCCCGTGAGACCGAGCGCAGCACTCTTGCTGCCTCCCAGAAAAAAAATGAAAAAGAAATTCGACAAGAAATCCGTTTCCAAGTTGGTTAAAAAAGTTTTAACACTGCTCACAATCTCTGTTTCTGCCCTCCAGGCAAAGTTCTGTGGTCCGTATGTTATAGAAAATAGATTAAGTAAAACTGACTACGTTGTTCGGAGGAGGAAGTCCTGTGTGTGCCACATTAAATGTTGAAGCCATATTTCGGTCATGATGTCCCTTTAACTCCCCGTGCATTTGAAATCTTCGTTTTCGTTACGTCCGACAGTTTTCCTTCAGTAGCCTATACTGTTATGCATTTCGGTCTCCGAAACGCGTGTTGGCGGATGCACTCTCCCGTGTCTCTTCCTAACCTTAAGGATCAAACATTTTAGGGGAAATGTTTGATTTTTAGGAAGGGGGTGTTACGGCCCTGGCCGTATTATTATTAGCATTATGTTATGGTATTGGTTCCGTCTGTGGTGTGTGTTGGTGTTTTTTGTCCCTGTTCCTCTGCAGGAGTGTGCAGCCTGTCGATTGTAGATCTTTGACGGCAACCCGTAGGTCAGCGCTGACTGGTCCATGCAGTGGGCTCGGCTGGTGGAGTGTCTCCTGCTGGTTGGTTCTCCCAGGGAGCCGTAACATATCATTTTGTACTACTTTTCTCCTGTTTTTCATTAGGATAGGGAGTTAGGTTTAGTAACTGTATTTTATTTATATTGCATAGGGATTAGTAAGGATTTTTGTTTAAGGAAGTGAGCCCTGTTTTGTTTGTTGTTTTGGCCTTGGTTCACCCTGAAGTTTGTTGTTTAGTCTTTGTTGCACTTTGTTTCACCTGTTTGTAAATAAATCACATCACTTGATTGTTAACACTGTGTTAGTTGTTCGTTTGGGAATCGGGGTAGGATTATTGGTTCATTTTTCATCACACATTTATGTGGCGCTCCTTCCCCCTAGACAGGGGCGTAACACTGCCACTAGGTGGCGCTCTGGTGGCATGGTAAATCATTCTGAGGAGACCGTATTACTTATGAATATGAAATTCGCAGGGCACGTCTAGACTGGTGCCTGTAGCTCACATACCAAAAATCGTGTGTTTTATTTGAACGAAAGGGAATGACTTCAAATTCTATCGCTGGAATCTAGATACATTGGTGATCCGGCAATGAGGGCTTGGGCGTGGGGTGATGGTGCGTGGCGCGGCCGGGCAGGCGAACGCCTTGCAGGCCCCAATGTGCATCGATGGCGAGGTCCCGCCCAATGCTGCTTGCAGCGTCAATTATTATTATTATTATTATTATTATTATTATTTCTTTAATGAACTTTATTATTCTGTGTATATACGTGCTCTCCTGTTTAATGTTGCAGAGTGAATGAGGACAACCTCTTCTGTCCTGAGCTCCAAATCATTCAACTCATTAGTTATTGATGGTAGTTATTCATTTAATTATTGATCAGAATTCCAAACTAATAGTTTATTGTGTCTTATCAGACTGAATCAATCAATTATTGTCTATTGATTCCCTTCGTTAACGCTGGTTCCCAGAGGAACTTTAATGTTGTTTCCTTCCTCCATACTGGAGCTCCATTGACTGTATGGATTCATCATCATCTGCTTCTATTGTAAATCTGTGTGTTGTCTGTATAATTATGGGTAAGTAATATCTTGTGTTCAACTGTGTCAAACACAGCCTGAGATCCAGCAGGACTAAGACAGAGACTTTACCACAGTTTGTTTTTAATATGGCTGAAAACATTATGTACGAGCCAGAGAGCTAATGCTATGCTACGAGCTAGAGAGCTAACGTTATGCTACGAGCTAACGTTACGCTACGAGCCAGAGAGCTAACAATGATGCAATATTCAACTGACCTTTGACCTGTAGCTACAGCACTGACCTTTGACCTGTATCTACAGCACTGTCCTTTGACCTGTATCTACAGCACTGACCTTTGACCTGTAGCTACAGCACTGACCTTTGACCTTGAGCTTCACTTGTTTCTTCATCAGGATCTTTCTCTTCCTGTTGTAGACGGTGCAGGTGTAGGTGTTACTGTCTCTGTCTGTGGGGTATTTCAGGGTCAGACTGAGGTCTCCAGGTTCCTCTTTCTTCATCTCTGTTCGGTCTCTGTAATACTGGTTCTGTTCTTCAGGCTGATCAGAGCCGTTCTGATACACATGGACCTTCCAGTTTTCTCTGTCCGTCCACACCACTGTGACGTCCTCAGGCAGGTGAACTGTGGTTTTGCAGGGCAGCAGGACAGACTCCACCTCTGAATCCACCTCCACCTGGTAGACTGAGAGGACAACAAACCACAGCATTTCCAGTTTTAGTCGTTTGCCTTTGTGATATTATATTTTACACTATACCTCCAAACTAAATATTTCCGAACCATTCAGTGCTTTGGAAGTCAAATGTAAATGTAACTTGTACGGTCCAGGAGCGCGGTACACTATAACAAATAGAACTGGCTGCAGTGTTTTCCAGTTTGGGTGAGAAAGACTAAGAACAAGGCTTTCAAATGAATTATAATTTAGTTTAGGTTTAGGGTCCATTAAAACGCTCGAATCATATATGGCTGCTACTCCACCTCCTGGGCCAGTGCCTCGAGGAATGTGAGTATTAATATGACTGGGGAGGGGGGTGGATTCATTTAGGCTAACATACTCCTCGTGGGACAACCAGGTCTCAGTAAGACAAAGTAAATCAATATCATAGTCTGATATTAATTCATTCACTAAAACAGCTTTAGAGGACAGAGACCTGATATTTAACAGTCCACATTTCATTCTCTTATTTTGTGCTACTGAGGAGTTGGTTTTAATTTTTATTAGATTTTTATGTTGAACTCCTCTTGTTTTTATTTCTTTAAATAATCTAGGTGGTCGGGGGACAGACACAGTCTCTATGGGGTTTTGGGTGGGTGACTGTTCTAAAGAAAGCGCAGAGAAGTGTGTAAGACAGCAGCTCTGCTTCCTGGTCCTAACTCTGGACTGTCAGGTTTTAGAAATAAACTTTGCCATATTTCTAGATAAGAGAGCCGCTCCATCCAAAGTGGGATGGATGCCGTCTCTCCTAATCAGACCAGGTTTTCCCCAAAAAGGCTTCCAGTTATCAATGAAGCCCACATCGTTTGCTGGACACCACCTCGACAGCCTCCAGAGAAAACTACGGAGTCCGACATAGTTTTAGCATAGTTACACACCGACTCCACATTAATCTTAGTGACCTCTGATTGGCGTAAACGGGTGTCATTACCGCCGACGTGGATAACAATCTTATTGTATTTACGTTTATCTTTAGCCAGCAGTTTTAAATTTGATTCAATGTCGCCCGCTCTGGCCCCAGGGATACATTTAACTATGGCCGCTGGCTTCGCTAACTTCACGTTTCTGACTATGGAGCTGCCAATAACCAGAGTTGGTTCCTCAGCGGGTGTATCGCTGAGTGGGGAAAATGTTTTGGAAACATGAAGCGGTTGGTGGTGAACTGTGGGCTTCGCCGTTTTAGTCTTCCTTCGCTCAGTCACCCAGCCTCCCTGTTTTCCCGGCTGCTTAGGAACTACCGGAGGAACTACCGGAGGAACTACCGGGGGGAACTACCGGGGGAACATTCCCGGGGGATCTACAGAGCTAACAGAAGCTACCTTCGGTCGGACCGCACCGGCTACTGGGGGCTGGCTAACTATAGCGGCTAAAGATATCTCTGGGGTGCGGTACTGTTCCTCTAACTCACTAAGCCTCGCCTCCAGCGCAGTAAATAAACTACATTTAATACAGGTACCATTATCTTTAAAGGAGGCAGAGGAATAACTAAACATCTGACACACTGAGCAGGACAGAGGAGAGGGAGAGGGAGAAGCCATAGCTAACTGCTAATGCTAATGAAGCTAGCGTGTATGAAAAACTTTGAAAGTAGTGAAAAGTCGCTAAAAGAAGGAGTAACCCCGAGTGCTTAAGTAGAACTAGACTACGTTTAAATGTTAAGCGGGTAAATAACCGCTGTAACGAGTAAAACAAATTTAGATTTAGCGTTCACTGACAGAGCTACAGCACCAAACAGTGTACACAGAGCAGGAAGTGAACCGGGAATGAGTCAGTACGCTTACCGTAGTGTTGCGATATCCTGTGATTTATACTCTATGTATTTACCTGTATGATTATTAACTAGAATAGAAATATGTTTACTTGTGCTTACATTGATTATGCTAACATTGATAAAGGGCTGATAAGGGAATACTAATAACAGAAATAAAGTAATGAATATTAGATGTTTGTATGATGTGTTATGAATAGCAGGCACAGTATAAGGGAGAAGAGTGTGGGTAGTTGCAGATATAACATGACATTCTTTGGGAGAGATAGCGGTAAACACGGCCTCCGAGGTCAGTGTCAGGAGCCCGTAAGAAACAATGATAGAACACATGACGGACTCCCTCCTGTCGTAAAAAACAACTTCATATCTGGAAGAGAGAGTACGAAGTGTATACGTAGGTTTAAATAATATGTGCATAGAGTTAGATAACACGTCACTGAATGTCAGAAAAGAGGCCGCTTTCTGTTTTCTGATGGCGACCCCATCAACACCATCCGTGGAGACAAGATACCAAGAGGACAAGGGGTGGAGATTCTACCATCTTGTGCTATATGTGTTACATGCCAAAATATAATACTGATTTTAGGAACAAGAGGTTGCTCAGACTTCGTGAACTGGCAGACCTTGTGCATGTCAGGTTAACCGTAGTTGAACCCAGAGCTCTGTTACTTTTGTACAATATACTGGTGTTAAAATAAAGCTGATTTTTATACTCCAAAATCCTTCTCCTATCGCTTCATTAAAAGAACGCTTGAGGAATGAGTTTTTGAAATACAGAGATTCCTCAACAGTAGCCAGCTGAGATCTGAGATTCAGTGTTTGGAAGTCAATACCAGTATTTTGAAATAAATTCTTTGATGTGTAGGAAGCCAGTGCAGAGCTCTAAGACCTGGACTTATGTATTCCACTTAGTGTCAGTGAGCGCTCTGTATCCTTTCAGTCTGTGATTCTGTTGATGTGGGTTTTGGTTTTTAGGTTTTTCACCGTCTGTAACTTTGATTATTGATTTCAAAGAAAACATCTGTAACCACTAGAAATATTCACAGCTTTTGTGACAACTAGGTCAAGAGTGTGATCCTCATTATGTGTCTGTCACATGTTGAGTCAGTCCATAACTGTAAATAATGTAAGTTTGTAAGTACCTTACTTACAATATAGCCACTCCATTAACAACTTGTGCCTGGCAAACGATCTGAATGAGTTTTACTGTCGCTCTGACAGACATAGGAGCAGTCCTGACACCATCCCCCGTGACACCCCTCACCAGTTCCCCCCCGCCCCAGCTCAGCAGGAGCCGTCAGTCAGGCGAGGTCGGTGACTCGAGTCGGTTCGGTGTACATACTACGCCAACGCCAGTATCTTGTTATTATTAGCCATTGTATTTTCCGTTCAGCGAGTAATGACAATAACGATCCTTCTTGACTACTATCAACACTCTCTGATAGCGTGCTCTGTGTTTACTAGGTCTAGAGTGATCCGTCATTTCCATTTTTTTCATTCCGTCGTTTTCATTTTTTTTGGGCGACAACACAGTTGGGGGACGTATTACGCCACACGCAGAACTACGGCGTCGGTTTGGTGTGTTCGGAGGCACTTTTTTGACCGACTCGGGGAGACGGGAGCCGACTGATCAGTCCAACTGCCTTTCTGCCGACGGTCGGCCGTCGGGTTGGTGTGTCCTGGCCTTAAGAGGCAGCCGGACCAGATTCTGTCTCTCCATCCACCCTAAAGCACTGTGCTGACCAGCTGTCCAGCTGTCTCCGGTGTTCACTGACATCTTCAACACCTCATTGGAGACCTGTCATGTGCCAGCCTGCTTCAAAACATCCACCATCATCCCTGTCCCCAAAAAAGCAAGGACCACAGGACTCAACGACTACAGACCTGTTGCCCTCACCTCTGTGGTCATGAAGTCCTTTGAGCACCTTGTGCTCTCACACCTCAAAGCCATTATGGACCCACTCCTGGACCCCCTGCAGTTCGCCTACAGAGCCAACAGGTCTGTAGACGATGCAGTTAACATGGCCCTGCACTTTTCCCTCCAGCATCTGGACTCCCCACTGGTTTTGGACTTATGGAAGAAACCAGCCCCAACTGCCCCCATCATCCTGTGCGACTCCCCAGATGACTCTGTGGAGTCCTTCCGCTTCCTGGGTATCATCATTACCCAGGACCTCAAGAAAGCCCAGCAGAGGATGTATTTCCTGCGGCAGCTGAAGAAGTTCAACCTGCCAAAGACGATGATGGTGCACTTCTATACCTCCATCATCAAGTCCATCCTCACCTCCATCCTCACCTCCTCCGTCACCATTTGGTACGCTGCTGCCACTGCCAAGGGCAGACTGCAGCATATCAATCGATCTGCTGACAAAGTGATCGGCTGCAATCTGCCATCCCTCCAGGACCTGTACGCCTCCAGGACCCTGAGGCGTGCAGGCAAGATTGTGGCTGACCCCTCCCAACCCGGACACAAATTCTTTGAACCTCTCCCCTCTGGCAGGAGGCTGCGGTCCATCAGGACCAAACCTCTCGCCACAAAAACAGTTTCTTTCCGTCTGCAGCTGGCCTCATTAATGGCCTCACACGAGGCCCAGATCCCCCACTGACACTGACTCTTATACCTACCCTGTATATATGCATTACATTAATGCCCTCCCGTCTTCTGTACAGTCTTATCTTTATTTATTTATATTTTACTTAGAAGTACTTTATTCTTGTGTGATTTTAATATTTTTGTGTGATTGTATATTTAAAGCACCATTGCACCAAGACAAATTCCTCGTATCTGTAAAAACCGGTCACACTTTATAATGAGTACACACTATTAAGCATTAGTTAAGCATGAATAAATACCAAATTCATCATTTATAACGCATGAATACACATTAGTATGTAGTTTATAAACACAGTTAAAAATGTTTTATTCATCATTGATAAGCACATTAGTTATGGATTAGTAAATACTGAATTCATCATTTATAAAGCATGTTTCTGCTGTAAATAGTCATTACTATGTGGTTTATAATCACAGTTATAAATGTTTTACTCTTCATTGTACTGTACATTTCTGCATGCACTTGCACATCCACTATTCAGACATGTATTAATTATTAGTGACTGTGTTAGCAGATGTTCTATAAAACTCACAACAAATTCATTTTCTAATGATGGCCTATAAACAGTGATTAATGCAGGAATTCA